AGGATGTCCAAAATCATTACGTTTACAGCTGGGTTCAACATGTAAACGTTCTTTTAAGTACTGTTTTGCTTCTAAACATAGCAAAAGAGGTCTTCGTGTATTCTATTTTATTACAAATAATAAAATAAATTAGGATAGGCTTGCCGTTTGAGACCTGAAGACAAGGAAGGAGGGTAGGAATGACGAGCAGGTGAGTTAGAGGAGTGAGGAAATGGGTTGCATGAAAGGACACCTGAGTAAGACACACACACCCCACAGAGGAGTGTGAACACGAACTGAGGCCAGTCACATGGAAGAACAGGTCGTGACCCACTGTAGATGGCAGTTTGGACCATGAAGAGAGTAGACAGACAGGGAAATGCAGAGAACAGGGGCAGTGAATATTGGAGTTCATTATTTTTCCCCCATAAACTGGGAGAGTGGGAATTAGCCCAGGTGGGAGCAAGACTCTTCAGTGTGGCAGACTAGAAAGCAGCTCTTTCGAAGTTCTTGGACCTGACCTTGGACCCAACGAGGCCTCCAATCTGCAGTCTTTGTGACATATGTGCAAAAAGGGGTTTCATCGTTCACTCATCTACTAAAACAAACAATAACAGCAGCAAACCACGCGGGGCCTTCTAAAATAACGTACATATGAGTGTAAATCTGGAGGTCACTATATGATTGAAGGATGTTACTATTTGTCACAAAATAGGCACTTGAAAATACCATTTAAAAATTTTTAACAAACTCTTACTAGTTAGATATTTTTCTCTGCCATTTCAAAACCAAAGTCACTGGTGTAGTACAGAGTAACTAGAGTGTGAAGACAGTATGTTTACACTATGCCCCTCTGAGCAACTCCGGTTGTCTGTCACGTTGTATCACACCCACATTTTTTCCTCTGAGGTGAGATATTAAATGAATAATGTCTTTAGGAAGGATCAGCAAAAAGCTGGCTTGTAGGAGGTGGAGGTTCAAGGAATCCCAAACGTCCAATTTTTCCAAACCGCTGTTATCATTCCATCATCTCGAACGTCTTACCTTTCTGCCTGCAGCATGCTTGCTTCTTGGGTTCCGTAGCTCACTGCTACTTCTAACCGATCTCAGGAGTGGTACTTGGGGATAGGGTACCACTCTGGATCTGGATCAACTCAAAAATTAGAGGAATAGCTCAAGGTGCAGATAGATCTCCGATCAAGGTAGTTTTTTTCTAGTGCCCCCGCCAGGGCCTTTGGGATCCCCTTGTCACAGGGCCTGCTGGAGGTGCTCTGGGACAAATGCTAAAACTCTTCTTTAGCAATCTGAGTTGGCCAGCACCACTGCAGCCATCTTGCTCTGAGCTCCTGATTCTTGTTCTCTTCACTCACTAATGCTCTTGCAACGGCTCTGCCACCCAAGCTTGTTGTCTTCCTTGTTAGCATTCTTCCTTCCCTCCCCTCCCCTTCTCCAAACCACCAGCTCCTCTGGGCAGTGAAATTAATAATTGAACAGTCTTCGCCTTTTCTTCTAGACAAGTGATTCAAACAAGGGTGCTAAGCACCTTATTAACATTAGTAGCAAGCTCTCCAATTCCCTGGGTGGGTCACAAGCATCTCATTTGCATCTACTTACCTGGTTATTTGGTGGGAGCTACAAAGACTATGGCTAGAAGGGCAATGTTAAGTAATTCAGTTAATCAAAAATGATGAACACACTCCAATGATAATTTTCATTTGGATCATCCTCACAGACAATGTATCATAATGGCAATAAAATTATGACCTTTTATAGCTTTGACTCACAAGGTTTCTGCCTAGAATTCTACTGGGTCATAATCATGGTATCGAGTAGATGCCAACTCATAGTGACCCTGTAGGATGGGGTAGAATTGCCCCTGTGTTTCCAAAACTGCAGCACTTTATGAAAGGAGAAAGCCATGTCTTGCTCCTGAGGAGCCGGCTGGTGGTTTTGAACTGCTGACCTTGAAGATTGCATGCAGGTCAATGCTTAACCAGTACACCATCAGGACTGCCATCAAGTTAATTCTTTCTCATAGTGGCCCAATAGAGCAGAGTAGAACCGCCCCTGTGGATTTCTGAGACTGTAAAACTTAACAGGAGTAGAAAGTCTTGTCTTTCTTCCATGGAGTGACTGCAGTGTTAACTGCTGATCATGAGGTTAGTAGCTCAATGTGCAGCCACTACACCACCAGAACACCTAAAATATACTCTCGTCTCTCAAATCTAATGTATAAAAACCTTTCACAATTATTTACATGTGCTACTCCTTTAAACGTTTTTAAGGATGTGTAGAAACTGTATCTTGAAATTAATTGTTTCCATGAGGGGCAGAACCCATTAGTGAGATCTACATATAAACCCTTCCCAGGGCAATGGAAAACAGAAAAGTGGGTGAAGGAGCCAATGATCAGTGTAAGACATGGGATATATATATAATCAAGGGTTCATGAGGGAGGGAGGTTGGGGGAGGGGGAAAATGAGGAGCTGATGTCAAGGGCTCAAGCAGAAAAAAAAGTTTTCAAAATAATGGCAACATATGTACAAATGTGCTTGACACAATGGATGGACGGGTGGATGTATTCTGGTAAGAGCTGTACCCCCAATAAAATGATTTTAAAAAAGAATTATGTTCTAGTGGGGCCTCAAGGTTGTGACTTTCCGTATGATTGCCAGACCTTACTTCTCAGTGTGGGTGAACAGAAAACCTAATAATGGAGTGCTTAATCGTTTTTTGCCACTAGAGACTCCACAAATTATTGAAGTCGCAATCATTCAGTTGTCCATTTTCAAATTGAAAAAATTTCACGTTCTTGGTATTTTTTCTCCAAAATGAACATTATGGTGTATTTTATGAGCAATTTATGAAAAATACACATTGAGTTTTGGCTTCAATCTGATTTGTTTACATGTTCATGGGAAAAGCCTAGTTGTTAACCTTGGTGGGGTATTGAGATTGCTGAGCTGAGATAAGCACATTTGTCTCAGGAGTATGTGCTGCACCGTCATACAATGAGCATTACTGCAGCCAACCCCCAGATTACGGAGCTCTGGTGGGGCAACGAGTTACTCATTGAGCTGGTAACTGCAAGATCAACAGTTAAAGCCACCAGCCACTTCCCAGGAAAAAGATGAGGCTTTCTGTTCCGTTGAAGATGTAGTCTTGGATACCCAACCACAGAGCAGCTCTACTCTGGCCTATAGGATCTGACATGAGGCAGAATGGACGTGTTGGTAATGACTTTGAAAGTAAGAATGTCCAGGTTAGGCGCATCAGACTTAAGAACCATTCTACTTGTTCTCCAATACTTTGCAAACCTGAAATTCATCACAATCACCTTCACTCTTACAAGTGCTGCCTCAAATCATTGAAAAGGCTGCCATCCATAAGCACCTGTTTGGACTTCCCCACAAATTTGACTAAGATACACTTAGGGAGACTGTTATTGGTTAACTGGGGGCTGCAATTAGTAGGTAACAAGGAAATGGGCATTTTAAATTATAGGTCAATGGTTTCCAAAGTTTAGCCCGCATTCCTATCACCTGGAGGACTAGTTAAAATGCAATTGCTGGATCCTCCCCCTGAGCTTCACTTGATGCCAAAGCTGTTCCAGCCAGGGACCTGAGTGTCAGTTGTAGGTCGTTGATTTCATTTCTAAGGCAAACTTAATTCCGGCAGAATCTTAGGGTCAACCCAAGAATTTATTTTAAAACATACCAGACGGATTGGCAGAGCAAAAAAAAAAGTCTTAGAGGTTGTTTTGCCTCTTTTGCAACAAATTCCCCAGTCCCTCACAGCCCTCCCCTCTTGCCAGGGTATGCAAATAAACTGGGCTCCCATGCACTTCCAGGTTCCTGGACCCCAAGCTTCCCCTGACCCAGGTGTGGGGTTTCAGGCTACGTCCAGTTCAGCACCGGTAAACCCCGCAGGTCAGCTGTACGCGGTAGGGGGACTTTCAAAGGGAGTAGTTGAGAGGCTCCTCTTGTTCGAATTCCAAGATGCAAGTACAGTGTGTGCGTGATTCGGTGCATTTTGCAAACTGGTCCCTGCCGACCTAACCTCGCCCTGCTCGGAGAGATCGAGCGAAGCCACGGGCCTCCCTCCCGCCGCAGCTCAGGCTCCCCCCGCAGCCCGTGGACTCGGCGGAGCT